CACACACACACAAATACAAACGCACACACTGCGCCGCTAAGGGAGATATATATGTCTGCTTGGCACTGCTCAAATCCCTGGTGTCAGTCAAGCTCAACCTGGGCATTATTATCACTAGCAAGGCGACAGAGTCCCATTTATCAAGCCTTACTCCCACCTCCACACATCCACATCCACAGAGATACAGAGGAAGGGAGTGGTCACACTGATAGTCGGGACCATATGTGATGGACTCATTGAGGGGAAGTGTGGCGGTGTGTTCAGGGGGGAAGAGAAGTGATGAGCGGGAGACAGTGAGGAAGAAAGAGAGAAAGATTGATGACAAAAAAAGAGAGCAAGAAAGAACCACCAAGAGAGGAACTCTGGGAGCAAGAGGAAGTGACACATTTGTTGTATAGATTCTGGCTGTCACCATGTGGGAAAGTTACCTAGGTTGCTACAGGTTTTTTCTTCTTTTGGTGGGATTTTAATGCTGTAAGGATTCTCAGATAAAATATTCAATACATACTGTACTGCAAATCAAACGAGTACTGTATACCTTTGGAAGCAAAGAAAGGCCGTATTAATTGAATACCTAATTGTAAAATTGAACTATTATTGAATGCTCGAAAAATAGTAATAAAATAAAATATTTCAATTATTAAAATTTCAACATTAATTATTCAGTAGTAATCAAATTTGAAAAGTAGGTTTTCAGTTGCTTTTCCTTTTGGGATTTTTGTTTTTGTTTTTTTGCTTTCATATAAAGCCTCTTGAATCCTACCATCCTGTGCTCATTGCTCTGCCGAGGTTCAGCGTTAGCCTTCACAATTAATTAAAAAATAAAATATTAAGATAAAACACACAGAGAGGATGAGCCCTCCCAATGGATGACGAGGAGGAAGAGGTGCTCCTGTCACCTCCACACACATACAGGACATTCACACACATCTATTCATTAGGAGAAATGCTGCTGCTTCTCTTTTCATTAATGTACTGCATATGACGCACACAGACCACCTTCAACCTTAGTATCCTGTGGGATAACTGTCTAGTGTGTGTATGTGGAACTGCATGAATGTATGTGTGTGTGTATGTGTTTGTATATATTAGACAAAAGAATAGGCCATGCTCACTCATGTGTATACGCATGAGGTACTATGTGGAAATGTATAACTACATATAACTATATAACGTAGCTATATTACAAATGCATGTAAATATTTCAACATTCTAATCATAAAAACATATTGTACCATCATCGAATATTATTTGTAGGCAATTCAAAATGTATTTTAGAATTAAAGTTGTCTGAGACATTTTGAAACAATAAAATGTTGCAGCCAACAACTTTTCTCTGACTTTGTACTGAGTTTCCACAGCTTCAGTTCATCTTCACATTCCAATTCGGATTCTCACCTCTCACTGTCTGTCTCTCTTTAGTAGTCTGTCTTGTCCTGTCTGCCGCGCTCTCTTTCAGTCCTCACTTCACCTTATCTATTTTCTCCCTTCTACTTCTTAATTGGCTTGATCAAATGACAATTATGTGTGGGTCATTTCAGACTGAGAGTCAAAAAGAGGTTGCAACAGAAATAGACGACAGGAGTCTCAGAGCCTGAAGGTTGAAGGCAGGGGACGGGAACCAAACATGGTCAACAGCACCACCTAGTGACAGCGAGTCCTCTTGCTCATAAAGTCTGATTGGCAATGATGAACCTCTGATGAATCAAAAACTCTCCGATGAGGCTCAGTCATCTATAAAGTCAGTAAATACTTTGGATGTTTTAAGCTTTGCTCATTTAATGACAATGACTGACATTATATACAGATGTGAAAAATGAGTGATAATCACTCAAAATATTACTATAGTAATATTTGTTGACTGTTGAACAAATATATTTACTTCATATACATACAAATACAGCAGAAAAATGTAATAAATAAAGAGTCTATTTATATAAAACTTTTTATTTATTTATTAGAAGTCTATGTATTCCTGTAAATAACAGGATATTTAATTTATGTCTGTAGACCTTACATTTTTTAATTTGTCTCCGAATGATACATACAAAAATGTATGTTACCATAGATATTACATGCTCAGTGTATTCACAGGTGAATAGGTGGAAAATGCCTGTCTTGAGTTACCTGGTTTTCCAACATTCACAGCACTAATTGGAAGGCTACAGCTTTACACCATGATTACATGACAAGTTATGACTATATTAGTATAGAAATCGTGTTGGATAGGTTAGAGTATTGTACCTGCAGTAGGAGGTGATACTTCAAGACTCGCTGCATAGGAACCACTAGCAGATCCCTCAGTGTGAACTTGCCGTAGTTAGCTCTTTTTGAACATTCCTGTAAGACGACAATGAAGAAACAAAATCAATATACTATCTTAAAAATCATATCTATTAGACCATATAAAGAAAGCCAGCCTGTGACTGTGCATTGTTTATCAAGAGTAACCTGAAAGTGTTAACTGATAAAAAAAAGAGCTGGATTGAACTTTTTTTTTTTCACTTTTTAGAAATGAGTAGGAGTCTAATGGAGCAATCTATTAGAGCTTAATAGATCATTTTACAAAAATGTATGCTGTAAGTCATGGTGTCATCACCTGCAATGCCTCAGATACACACTTGAGGGCATTCTCTGACTATTCTGAGGTGATGAGAACACGTCACACTAAATAATCATCTACTGACACCAAACACTTTTTACCTCTAACTTCATGCGTACATCCTCTCTGTCTTTGCAGATCTCATCCAGACTGGCGATGGCTGTTTCCACATGGCTGCAGTACTTCCCATAGATCAGCAACCTGGGACAGATCAAACGCATGCAACTATAAGAATAGACAGAGAGCCAGGGTACCTACACTTTGCTGAAAATTGTATAGCTAAGACTTTAAAAGACCATTTATGACCTTTACATAATATATGTAAAGAGCTTTATAGAAAATGTAATAGTTTATGTAAACACCAGAAGAGAATATATAGAGGTTACAAAGTCCATGGCCTACCTCTCTTTGAAAGTGATGAAGATCTGGTAAAGGTTTTGGGCACTTCTGTGGTGGACTGACTCTTGGATTTCCAGCAATAAACATTTGTGAACTTTAACCAGGTCCTTAAACACAGCAGCAAAGATCCTTTAATGTTGATGTTCATCACATTTCTGTTACTTTCATTCATCTGGAGTTATTTCATTATCAATCAATCTTCAGAATATTTTCTTGATTAATCCAATGATCATTTGGTCTATATGAAAAGTAAGACATTTTCGATGAGCCCAAATTCATTATATCAAATTGCTTGTTATATCCAACCAACAGCCCTAAACCCAAATATATTTGGTATATTATCACATAGGGCAAACAAAAGGAGCAAATCCTCACAATTGAGAAGGTAGAATTAGGAAATGTTTGGTCTTATCAAGTCCATCCACCTCAATCCCAGCTGCTTGGAGAAAACTTTTTGGAAAAGGGCCTTCAGTTAGCGAAAAAACGCTATTTACCAAGCTACTAACAGCAGTCATAGGGACCCAAAATGAAAAAATATGTGTGACAACACTAAAGTTTCTCGGAGGAAAAGTATTGTTCTTTTTTATGCATTATTTCCCCCCCTTATGTCCCCTTAGGGGCTCCGTACATTTCAGCTCAACTTTCATTTGAAACTAAACATTTGCATGAATGCAGACTGTATGATACGACACATTTAATTCAATTTGTGGTTCTCTTATAACAGTAATGTGTAACAGGCAAACAGTGTGCTTTGTCATTGTGAATATGTTAGCATGCTGACATTAGCATTTCCCCAAAGGTACAGTCTCACAGAGCAGCTAGCATGCCTGTAGACTCTTCGTCTTACCACTAATTCTAATGTATTTAATGCACTTCTAATGCCACATGGACAGTTGGGTTTCAATTTGGAAAAATGTGGAACCTGTGACTGTCCTACTGTGACCTGTCAACATGTGTTCAATGAAAAAGGGCCCTCAATAAAGACTTTGGTGACCTTGAGTTGACCACCCGGTTGGATCATTACCATGTAAAGACAATGACTTACCGGGATATTCACAAACACCTTTTCCATCTCGGGCATGGATAGAAACATGGTGAGGGGCGTCATAAAGTGCTGCAGCAGAGATGAAGAGAGAACATGAGAGAATGAAGCTCGTCCCCTCCAGAGTAAGAGTGGGAAAAACATTGTGCGAGAAGCTATTATATTATGGGGCCTTGTTGCAAAAAGCTGCAGTCAGCAAACACAAGGAGGACTGTCTGGGTCACGACAATAATCTCATTTTCAGAGTTTGCAATTTAATGATTTCCTCTCAGAAAACTCCCGCCGCATAGTCACCTCTACATCTCAAAGGAGTGAGCGAGCGCAAACTAACTTCCACCATCCACTTCATATAGAAAGTCATCTACTCGGTACTCCGCTGGGAGAGCAAGCAAGGTCTTTTTCCAGACGTGAACGTACACAAGAGGGAGAAGACAAGTAGCTGTGGCCGGGGGGTGAGAGACGGCGGGCCTCCTTCCTACTGCTCTGTAGAAGTGCAGGGTAAGGCGGAAAACATCCACGACAAAAGGTCTTTTCTTATAGTTTGGTGCTAGGAATACTCATTACCCACTACTAATTTCAAAAATAAAATTCTATTTTTTTCTCTCTGGGAGTACATATTTGTTACACTACTCATTTTTTTTTCCATTATACCCCAAATTACAGTCAGTCAGTCTTGCAGTTTGTTATACTGCAAGTGATAAGGAGGCCAAATTGATTTCTAGTGCTCTGGTCATGCTTTCACTGCATAAAATCAATGGAGTGGGACTAATTTCACCGTAAGAAAGTTAACTTTACTTTCATTTTTGACAAACTGTAGATATTGGTTGGAAATAAAAATGTTGATTGGGAATTTGTATTGCTGATACTGAAATAATGTAGTTATTATGTTATTATTGAGAGCTGGTAAAACAAATTGTGCAGTAATACATTAATATTTCTTGCTCATTTAGAACTGTTCCTGTAAGTCATGATGTTAGTACATATCCCTCCTTTTTAACAGGAAAGGTGTTTTTTTTTTCAGACTTCAACTTCTAAACACACTACATTTACAGTGTAGGACCAGTGTTTCCCAGCCTGAGAGTCTGAATCTCTAATGGGGTTAGGGGATAAATTCGAAGGCGATGCGTGATTATTAATTTGACAGGAAAGAGGAAAAATATTGTTGCGCTACTTAAATTTATTGTAGATTTTGTTTTAATGAATTCTCAATTTTTTCTTTTCCATGTGAAGTACTTTTCAGGTCTATACCACAAAACCAATTGCATAAATACACAGCAAAAATGTTCAGTGACAATAACGAGCCCTTTTAGTGAGTCAGTACCTTCTCTATAGACTCCAGGGTCTCAGTGTATTTCTCCTCTGTCTGCTTGATTTCTGTTAAACAGCAACTCCTGATGTCAGTCTCTGCTTGCTTCTGGAACGCCTACACACACACACACACACACACACACACACACACACACACACACACACACACACACACATACAGGACTGTTACTATGTGTCAGCGCTGTGGGCTGACAAACTGTTGAGTCTGCAACCAGATGTAATCTGTGCAACCCTAAGAGCAAGGTCAGAGTCACACATGCTCACTAGATTGTCTGCCAATTATGATATGAGCAGGAGGTACCATCATTTGTTACTTAACTAAGCATTTATAATGTAAATAAATATACAATATAACTTAATAATTCCGAACCTTTCAAAAATATCAAATGTGAATTTACATTGTGTATAAGGTTAAAAAGGTCTCTACATTTCTGTTGACTTTCACTTAAATAGCAATAGTTCATCAACTTGGTACCTTAAAGCTCGAAAGAGGCAATTTCACGCACTAGCAGCCCAAAAAAGGCAACATGAGAGTTATTTCTGGACTTCAATGCCCAGATTTAGCCGTGAGACAGTGTACGCTAAATATGAAGCTATGGCTAGCAGCCTAGCTTAGCACAAAGACTGGAAGGCAGTGGGGGGAAAAAACTAGCCTGACTTTGTCCCAATGAAGCTCAGTAATAACAAGTTAAATATTGTTTATCCAAACTAAAACTAAAACAGTACAATTGACAGGTTGTAATTTTATGTTTTGGTTATCTCCGCTGGTTGCCTGCAACTTCACTGGTAACGTTGGCCTACGACAATATTAAGGAAGTTACAGAGCCCGGCTAAGAAGTAGTTGAGCATAACTCCAAGAAAAACTTTTGACGAATAAGATATACTGTATTCTCTTAATTTGTGAACTTTAGAGGTGCTGGTAGGCAGATTTTTGTGTTAGCTTCCAGCTTTTATGCTCGGCTAAGCTAATCGACCGCTGGCTCTATAACTTCACATTTAGTTATCCTACAGAATTGAAAGTAGTATCAATTTTCTTATCGCTCTATCTTTCTATCGCTTATCGGCTAGTTTGCATATTTCATGAAATGTCACACTATTTCTTTAATACAGATGGTAATTAAATGCGTTAAGTGGCAATCTCAGTCATGGTAAAGAAGTGAAGTCAGAGAGAGGACGACTAACCGGAGGAGGGATGGCTTCTGTCTTCATCAGGTCCTCATAGATCTCCCCTCCATCTTCATCGTCATACACGCAGTCATACAGATCCTCCTCATCCTCCACCCCGTTCTCGCTGCACCACAGATGACAGAATATGATACCGACATCACATTACGTCCATTTGAGTTTTACTGAGTTTTTACCCCTCATGACGGCCACATGAAAGGTTCAAGCAAAATCACACAGTTCTGGTTTAACAGAAGTGGATTTTAATACTTTACTACAAATCTTGTTAGCTGGGGACAACACTTAATCCATGGCTGTGAAAGTGGCTCAGAAAAAACACACACACACACACACACACGAGTAAAGACTGTTATGTGTGACGCCATAGGCCTGTTCTGACTGCTCACATCTGAGCCAATTACTGTACCTTAGCAACTGGCCTAACATGACATGACTCAGTGCTTCTATGTGTGTTCTCGCCCTTTTTTGTATGGGTACCTAGCATGCTGTTTTGACCAGCAGGGACTGATGTACTTATTTGCATAGAAAGAAGTATACTATAACACTCATTGTACAAGTGAAGAGATACCCCTTAAATGAATACAAGAACAAACATGAACGAAATATATTTCAAGACACTAAAAGTAAAAAAAAAAAAAAAAGAATCAACGCATTGATACTAATTTTAGATTCCTGATCTAACAATGTTGGGGAGGGTGAAGGAGTTGTGGCTTGAAAGAAACAGCTCTCATATTCTGGCTCACTCTGAAATACACCATGTTACGGATGATAAAGACGCTCTAACTGTTGAAAGTTGAGTTTAGAGTTTAAAGGCTCTGGAAATTCTTAATCCACTTCTTACTATGAGTGAGAGGGTCCTGTATAATGACAAAAGAGTTGTCAAAATTTGAACCGTTTTGCTTATTTATCATGACACATTTCTGTATTTCTCTCTGCTCATCTCGCTGGTTTGAAGTGGGCGGGGCTTCAGTCGGAAAGGGCTTTAAAAGTACTTTTGAACTTTCACTCTAGTATGTAAATATACAGGACAAAAAAAGGTTGAATTGCATAGCTGTTCAATTTATTACAATTTCCACATTTAATAAAAGTTCCACGTACATCTATTCCAGCCACACACTGGGCATTTTTTTGTGGAGCATGAAGCTGCCTGATTGCATCTTCTAAATAATTAGATTTTCTCAAGGGATCAAGAGGCAGATTGTCTCTGAGCTGCTGTTGCATCAAAGTGAATTAAGCCAATGATAAATCAGAAAATAAGCATGACAGGTAATATACAGAACATGCTCTTTATATAATTGAATCCTTGCTCTATTAAACACATAATGGGCCTTAAAACATGTATTTTGGTCATGACTTTTGACGAATAGTGTTAAGAGTTCAGACAGTTGGCTCTAGATGGTCAATGAAATGGGTACGTTTGTTGTGTCATCTGGGCTGCCACTTCCAGCTCCCATCCACTGCTGGCTGCTGTCAGACTGCTGTTTTCCTCACTACTACTGACTAGTGGGCTGCTTCCTACTCCAGGAGCTGTCCGCGCTGAACACAGACCAGTGCACCGTGTCAGTGTTGGCCTTCCCAACAGCAGTTTTACTGTAAGATTATCTGTCTCCGCTGACTTATATCACCACACAAGCTACTTGCCCTTGAAATGCAACTCAAAACCAATCCCTAGATTTTTCCAGATTTGTTAATGGTTTGTGCTTAGGTCCAGGAAGATATATTTGACTCTAACCAACAAAGGATAACTATAAGTATTATGAATCAAAAGGCGACTCCACTGGTGGCTATAGGAAGACATTCACTTCAGCATGTACTATCTTTCGGATTCAGTTGTTATTGCCGCATAACATTTAGATAAAGGGCTTTGTGTCAGGAGTGGTTTGCAGTATGTATTGTGACTTTTGTTCCTTATTCAGTTTTAATATTTGTTGTTTTGATGAAATTATTTTAGAATTAAATTGTCGAAAAACACCAATCAGAAAATGTTTAGCTCTCATCATATGTTAAGTGCATGGCATCTGGCTTGCCAGTAGACTGCAAGACTTTATGTTCAAATGTTATTAGAAAACAATACATTTCAGTTAATGTCCCTAAAACAATTCACTCAAGTTTAAATAGGCTTTAAGGGTATATGTATATGTGTAAATGTATAATTTAAACCTGCAAAGCTTTCATATGTGTGTGGGAAACAATAGGTGTGAAAACTGGCTGAAAAAAAGGATCACGCCAACACGACTTGCGGCTCACTAATAAAAGAGTGGGCTAACAGCTTTGGAGGAGGTGGCTGCCTTTTTAAAATGAAGTTCTTGTGAAAATCCTCACAAGTATGCAAAAGAGAAGGGTGTGTGTTATGCAAATGAGTGTGTTTAGGAGATGATACATACTCTATAAGGTCCTCAAGGTGGTTGTAGATATCCTCATCTTCAACACTCTCTTCAGATGGATAGGGCCTTTTAAAGGGAATCAGAGAGCATCGTCATTATATACTCTGCCATAGACCACCTAGTGGATTGTGTTGTATAATACTGTATCATCATGTTACACATTATATTGGAGTCATTTCACTTCCACATACCTGATTCCAATTTGTTGTGCAATCGCTGTGTGGGAAAGTTTAGAGAGTGTGTCCATAACCTGCAATGGAAATAAGAATTATAGTTTTCTTATGAATATTATTTACATCACAAAGAACATTTACAGGATGGAAAGCAAGATTTGGGACTGATGGGGTTTGTTGTTTGGAACTTGGTGCTCTAATGGAGCTGCATTTCTAAGCGGGGGCACATGAGGGCAGCATTCTCAAACACTCCAACTCTGCCGCTGACACATACTGTAACTGTCATTTATTTGTGTGCAGCAACAGACGTATAGTTACATTCAATTAGAGCTAATTAAGATGTGCAAGCCAACAAACAAGCATTTCATATATATAATCATACAATAATATTTGGGTTTGTTTTAACATTTAAGCAAATTTTGCGTTGCATCTAAAATAATAACACGCACAAAACCCATTCAGACATATTTAGACATATATAACGAGAGGGAAACAGTGAGGGAGGTGTTAAATGAGAGAGAGAGAGAATGTTGTCGCTGCACAGAAGAATGGCTCATTGGACACAAAGTCAACAGTACAGTAGCAGCAGATCAGAGTCGCATGAGCCGATCAGTAATTGATCGTGCTGTGAAGTTAACCACATGCACGCGTGGGTTGACATGATTGCTATTAGCATGACATGTAATTTCACGCCGCTGCGCTCAGTCCTGCCCGTGCCCTTGACCCCTTCTCTGCGTGTGTTGGTGTGTGTGACCTGCTTGACTAATCAGCGTTGAACTCACCTGCCGAACGAGCGATACAGAATCTGAGTCAACGCTCGACTGGGGAGCTCTGCTCATTCATGTTTTTTTGCAACCTTGGAAAACGGCCCGAGAGCCTCTTTTTTTTGTGGGTCATCTGTCCGCTGACATAACATACTTACGTGCCGATGAAAACGGGCCTGCACGCTCGCATTTAAACACACACACACATCACAGATGTAACCGTAGATACATCTGGCCTGGAGCATAAGCTTTCAGAGATCAATACTGATCACACAACTGGCCTTTCCCTTCCCCCACCGGTGAGCAGAATAAACAGTGGAACACAAAGAACAGTTTCTGCAGACATCCTTTATGCTATAAACTGTAACACTGTGCACCAATAGAACCAATAATGTCACATGTTGTGTGTCGACGATTTACAACCAACGTTCGTCCAATGTTGGACGCTGAAGATTGATGGACCTGAGCTGTTTTTGGTGTCAGTATTCAGTGTTTTTAACCCCAAGGGTCTCTAATAGATAAGCAGACGAGTGTTTATTACTTGCACAATATGTGATCAATCAAAGGGTGTCACGTCCGTCAAATAGAAGGTGGACGACACTGACTGACATTCCATAAACCTGTCAAAGTCTTTGAGGCAGCAGTGCATCAGTGCATTGAGTTCATCAGTCGCAGCTCTGATCAAAGGGAACTAATAGTGGCGAGCAGCTGAACAGCAGCAGTGATTACACGTCATGAGACGAGGTAGCACTAATGTTTCAGACCTGTATTTATATACATTTAATTCAGTCGCAAAACAAAAAAACTGGCTGATGCACTTCCCATATTCACTCATACAGTACAAACAGTATACTTTATGGTACATTTTTCAGGAGTGGTGTCTGCAGGTCCTGCATTGTAGCTCCATTCAGCCCCAAATACCTCCTCCAATCAGGTACAGCGGGCTGTATGTAGCCCAAGAGGCAAAACCCAGGGCAAAAAAAGTATGCAAAGCACTCGCTGCTGTCTGTTTACAGGTGTTGGGGAGTATTACTGCAGCTCGAGACCACGCTACCCCGCTAGCAGCATAACACACACAAATTGCAGAGCGAACTGTTGGCAGTCACTTTGCATCGTGGGTAATATAGGCCTCAGGTTTTGACACGAAAAAAGAATTTGAAAATGCTGCATCAATTTTAACATTTGTTGTTGACACTCTCCATCCTGAGACCGACAGTGTTATATCAGTGCAATGCCTAATCGACTCTTTTAAGCATATTGAGCAACATTTTTATCCACTCAGATCTTTTCTCAACTGGATTATGGCACCCGGACAGTTAACCTCAAAGACCAGTGTCCCAGTCCAGTGCATCACTGTCCCAGTCCAGTGCATTCACAATCAACTCAACATACAGTGTATGCTCAGGAACACATGTTGAATCCAAACACAGATTTGAGTGAGTGCACTGACTTCATCATCTAAAACTCAAAGAGAATCTTCCTCCGTCCAATTATTAATCCTCTCACAGTTATCAGACAGAGTTGATAGAGCTCTCCTTCTTAGTAAATGAAGGGCATGACATCCAGAGGCCAGTTGGCAGGCACAGTGTGTCCAAAAGCTGAAGATCCACTGTGTGCTGAACAGAGCTTTGGAAGCTTTTCAGTTTTATCTGGCAGGCAAGTTTGGGCGGCGATTCGAGTGCTTTTTGGCTTCATTGGATACATGAGTCACACTCATTCGCAACAAAACTGACCATCTGCAGACAACCGAGAGGCGTCTCTGAAGATTCACGTGTATTACATCCACTGGCGCGGTCGCACAACTGTTAATAGAAATGTCAAGAAAATGACCACAAGGGAAATGAGAGGTTTAAATTCCAAGAGGCCATCATTTTAGCTGGGAAGCAAAAAAAATATAGATTATCCCTAATGTTCGCAAAGCTGCAAAAATGCATCGTGATTCAACCGTTACAAGGACTCCAATGCTGGACGGGTACCGCATCTGTTCTTTGAAGCTGCATTGAACAACTGTGTCATCATGAAACAGCAAAAAAACGGCCCCCAACAGTAAGACATCATCGAAGACTTCAAAATGAAAAAGCTCAAAGGTCCCGCATTCACTTTGGTGTCCAGAGTGTGCACATGAAGCAGAGGTCACAGGCTCAGCAGCCGTGTGGGAGAGGAGTGTTGATGCAAGGGGACACCGGCCCTCTGATGGAGGCTAATAAATCTGCCCTGTCTGAACCTCAGCTGCACCTCTGGATCTAATGATGCACACCCGAGCAGTTGAAGCAGTAGATGGTGTGTGTGTGTGTGTGCGTGTGCTTGCACTCTGTCTGCTTTCAGTGAAATTCTAAACCTACAATCAATTAAAACTGCAAGTGTTTATTCAAAAATTGATAGACAGTGTAAGTTCAAGTCAGAAAATTAAGCTGTTGACTTTGAAGTGTAATCATACTATAGAATGCAAAAACTTTCTATTGAAATCCCAGATAATATACTACTGTACATAAAATGTTCTTTCATGCTTGATTTTGTTATCGATATACAAATGGTGGTTTTCTCAAAAAGATCAATATTGGCCTTATTCATCTGTCCACATAGAACTTTCTATCCTCAGGAAGCAAACAAAGACAACTTCTAATATCTGATCACCTCCTTATTATCTATTCTGAGACTCTGTGTCTCAGGGTAGACGGCACCTCAAGTGTGATGCATTTTAGATGTATGACATGCCAACAGTTCTATTGGTTTCACACATGACCCAGCACGCTGTCCCAGTTTCCTGCTTGTATTCCTCCTTTCTGTGGCTTTGCCTTCCAAAGCAAGAAGAGGAACACTTCATTCCTGTTTACAGACTGTAATTGAGGTCACCTACCCACTTCTGAAATCAGTGCGGAAAATGGTGCTTAACTGCAGCGTTTTAAAGGAAAACAGACCGAACCGCATGCGGTGTCAAAATGACAAAGACCCACTTAGCTTTATTACCTCATCTGGGACGTTAAGTGAATCCTAAATAAAAAGCAGTATTGTCATTTTTCACTGCAGCCTTGGGCAATTTGCCAAAAATGAGTTAGATAAAAGCCGCAGCCAATATTCACTCTGTGTCCATACCTTTGTCCCTGCGCCATTTTTACACATAATATATGTATTGAAAACAAACCACTCCGAGTTACACATGAAAGCCATCCGTGACTCTCTAACTGAGGCTGACCAGAGATCAGCTGTTTGCTTTCGAGTTTTCTCACCACCACATATGAGAAAAACCAGTAAGGAAATGGGGGTGTGGTTGACCATAGCAAACAAGCAGGTGTGAGCGTCATCTGCAGCCCTCGCTGACCGTTTTTTTTTTTTTTTTAGGGAATTTTCCCACCTGATGCTTTGGAGCAGTGTTTTCAAAGACTGGAGCCCTCCCTCACACTTAGCATACTGTTCAGTTTATTAGAATATTGAGAGTTTACTGCTTTAGTTTTCTGCACAAAAGACCCTGAAGAGGATGAGTGTGAAGGGTGTCAAATGTAAGGATGTTCTATGTTGTTTAGCCTGAAAGAAAGTGCTGCATCAGTGAAGGAACTAAAAGCTTCAACTTGGCTTTTTGCTAACACCTTTGAAAGACTACAAAAAAAACTATAAAGGTTTGTTAGGTTTGATAAAATCTGTCAATGTATTTTATTTCATTGCATATCATTCATCAAGCTTTTAAAATGCTCACTGCCTACTCAATGAATCTCATTTTTTGAGGGCCAGGCTCGATAAAACATTCATGAAAAGCAGGAAAGGAAGTCAGGAAAGTGATGATTGTGTTTCAGGGAGAACAACAAAAGACACACTTCTCTCACACACTTTTCACTTTCAAACATGTTTGCCGTTTAAACAGTTTGGAACTAAAGGGCATATGCACATTTAACGGCCTCCTATCTTTCTCTGTTATTGGGCCTAGTGGCAAACAATGAATGTTAAATTCACATTAACAAAAGCAACATTTGCATTAAAATGCACAATGGAGGGAGCAAATACAATGCAGGTTGGTGTGTGTGAATTTAGCTTGTTTCGCACGTGAGGTTGATGATTGTTATTGGTGCTTATATGCACACATGAATGTGTGTGTGTGTGTGTGTGTGTGTGTGTGTGTGTGTGTCTGTGTATCTGTTGCAGCCGGTGTATAAAATGCAATCCACATACAGAGGAGCCAATAAAAGCCTGATTGTCTCGGAGAGAGAAACTAGCTAATGTTTGGCAATCAGTGCCACAGCTCATTAACGCCCATAATACATAATTAGTGTGTTTGGATTACACAGACGTGTAGCTGATTGGAATGCGACACACGTTTGCCA